AATGCATTTAACACAGATGAATAGTTCAGGAATATGCCTGTAACAAAAAGTCATCTTGAAAGCTGCTTTGCATTTGTTGGTGTTTATGACAACTTTTTCAAGACAGTCTCTTAAAAAAAAAAAAATAATTATTATCAAGTGTGTTTAAGACTAGGGACCCATGATGAATTTTTCACTGCCTTGACGCTATTTGCTTTACTTCATCCTCAATATATTTGCTTTAATAACGAGAGAGATGTTATGGGAAGAAAAAAGCAGAAAGGAGCAGAAAAAAAAAAAAAGAAAGAAGGATTTTTCCTTGTTGTTTTAAACAACCACTGTTAGGTTTTGAAACAGCTACCTTGTCCTTGAATTAACTCCCTACACCCCAGAGCAACCCGGGCGGCCGCAGCTTCCGACAGGGGCTCAGGGCGCCTGCGAGGGGGCGACGCTACCGGCAGCGTCGGCCTGTGGGGCCTCCCAGCCGCACAGGGCAAGTGCCCTCCCTCTCACGTCACTCTTGGCTCCAAACCACGCGTGAGGTTTGGAGAGAGTCCAGAGGGCATTTCCACCTTCCTGGGCGTTTCGGACAGAGCCGAGGGAGCTCCTGCTCCTTGCAGTGGTTGAGGCCAAAGCCCAGCGGGGAGGAAGGAGCCAGGGAAGCAGCCCCTGGCACCCTCGCAGCTGGCACTCGTGCTCCAGATTTCACCTTCCCAGGGAGCTAGAGGGAGAGCAGGAACACATTCCTGCAAGACTCCGGCACGACACAGAGTTGCCATGTCCATCTGCACAAGCGCTGCCCACCACCAAGTGTTTACAGCGTGCACTGGTAACCACTTGTTGCTATCAACTCTGGCCTAAAAATCCAATTTTCACAGAAAAAAAAAAATTTGCTTGAGAACATAGAGTCCTTCCCAGACATTTCTGCAGCTTCCTGTTACAGGAACGCGGAGGTTACCCTATAGCACGGACACGCAGCAAGTGGATTTCCCCCTGCACCAAGGCAGCCTCTGGATTGCAGCGGGCAGGGAGCTGCCGGGAGCAGCAGCGTGCAGGCTGGGGCTGGCGTGGGACGCTGTCTGAGCCTGGTCCAAACTTCAAGCCTTTTGAAATATTATTATTACTGAAGAAGCCTGGCAAGAACTCACCTCAGTGATTTAGAGGAGTCTGAATTCAATAAAATTAGCATTTAAATGAACCTAATTAAGAAATGCTGTAAACTGTGAGCATGCCCGAACCACGCAGGGCGCCTCGTGCATGAGCGCGCCGGGTGCTACCGCGAGGCGAGGCAGCCCCGGTGCGCGGGGCGAGCAAAGGGGCTGTCTCCTCACTTACAAAAAAATAAAAAGAGTAAAAAATTGGCAAACATGATCTATGAAGGGATATACATGGAGCAGACACAGCCGTTAGGATCTGACTGGCCACTTCTGAGTGGTCAGATTATTTTGCAAAAGGTACGAACTAAGCTCAAGCATCTGCCATATCACATGAGCATGCAAAGCATCTTGTATGTACTTGGCTTCCCAACTGCAAGAATAAAAAATCCAAAAAGACAACATTTATTTTACTAGTATTTGGATGCATCTTTTTTCCTAATGAATGCACCTGGGTTTTTTTGGATGATAAATTGTCCATTACAGAAAGCTCAAGTGTTTTTTTCTTTCTCCTTTCTTCTACCTGTTTTGCTTATGCTGCCATTAACAGTGTTGCAGCTACTATTTGAATTTTATCATTGTTTCTGCCACGAGCTATGCAGTATAGAAAAAAAAATTGTTAGAGTGAGCTTATAATCACAAGTATTTTAATTTATTAAATAAATGACCTAATTGCTTCCCTGAGATCTATTTTTCTTCTTTCTCTTGACCCTATTGAGAGTTAATCAGTTTCTTGGTGCTAATTAGATGTCAGCATTAGTAGCCTTCTAATACATAAGAGATAATGACACCATCGTGCAAGACACAGTGTCCAACACATGACCCTGTTTCCTTAAATTATACCCTAAGGATTCATAGGGAAGCCGAGACGCTTCATAGTTTTGCAGCAGCAGCTCCTTCTTCTGCACGTAGCTCGTGCTGCAGATTTGACAGAGAAGTGGAGAATGAGCCACAAATACACCCTTTTGCTCTGCAGAGTTTTAATAGGAATTAAGCAAGGTACTGTGTTCTTGTCCCTCTTTGCAAATCAAGTACGCAGTGGTTCTTTGGCATGAGAACAGTGACACAAAGAGGGTTTAAATAACAAATCAGTATTTCAGTTTTACAGATTAACAAACTGCTGGCAGGAAATTAAAACCCGCATCTTGCTCCTGTAACTCCACCTGTGCACTGCAGCCGGAGCGGGGAGAGCGGTTTGCACAAGCATCGCTCGTGTCTGCAGCACTAGAGATTTCAGCGCAGAAAAGTCAGGTTTTTGGTTTTTGCAGGGATTCTGGGCAAGACTATTTGCTACAGTGGATAAAAAAGATCCTTCTCTGCCTCCCTAACCCATGTCCTGCCCTGCTCTCTCCACGAGCCCCTTTTCCAGCTGCACAACAGCTCTGCGGAGCTGGAGCTTACATAACTTTTTGCCAGGAACAAAACCAGCCCAAACCAAGGATGAAACTCCACACAACAGCCTGGTTTGCTGGGAAAGAGTCGGGCTGTGGTGGACGCAGGTCATGGACAAAGGAAGCCTCAAGACCATCCATGCTGTGATCCCCCCCCCCACAGCCACTGCTCCTCGGCCCCTTTCCTCGCCCCTTGCTCATCCAGGGAGACTCTGGGGCTTCCCACAAGCGGGTTGGGATCCCAGCAGCAGGATCTTCATGGCCAAGAGCTACCAGGCTTTCTCACAGCAAGGACAACCTCCCTGCTCTCCCACCTCCAACTCTCAGGCAGCTGTAGGGAAGAGAGTTGCCTTAGATCCAGCCCTTTGGTAGAGGAGGAAAAATCACCTTATTTTCACCAGAAAGCATTTACCAGTGGACTAGTCCTTCAGACCTTTCTGATGCAAAGGCAGTGAATGTGCCATCAAAAATACCTGCCAGGACAGAAATACTGACCAGGGCTAGAATTTTGAAATAAAATTTCAAGATTAGCAAAAGCTCTAACTGCCCAAAATAAATAATAAAAAAAATACCAAGCACCTGACAACTTCATGATGGTAAAATTCTCCGGAGTTGACCTTAAAACATAAATACAGGGAAACCAGGAATTGGGAGGGAAGTAAAGAGGAAATTGCAGCCCTTTCAGGGCTGCTTGCTCTCTAAACACCGTGACCAGTTCTACACCTGAAAGTCACTAAATGCATTTTCTGTTTGGTATTTTTAAGTGCTGTTATGCCTGAGAGGTGTTAATAGCTCATCCATTAGTTGTGACCCAGACTTCACAACTTCACCCTAGCTTCATTAGAGCAATTGTGTGGGTTAATGCACTCTACTTTCATCCAGCAGTTAAACCTCTGAGGTTCAGGGGTATCAAAGTGGTATCAAAGCCACGGCACAGGGCACAGACCTCCTTTGAAGGCCTGTGGCCCCAAGAAGGATCTCTGAACTCGAGTCAGTTCCTGGGGGAAGGCTGGAGCAAGAGGGAAAGTGTGTTTGGAGGCACAGAGTAAGAGAAACTCCAACCAGACGCAGCACCTAGGCAGAGGGCAATGATACCTCACCCAAGGCTGCTGGAAGGTCTTTGGAAATGTTTGATTTGAACATGTTTCATAAGCAAGCGACAAGAAAAGCCACCACACCTTCTCCTTCCCCAGGGGAGGAGAAGGCACAACGGGAATCTGAATTTGTGGGCTAAAATAACTGTAACCCCCAGGCGCTGTGCAACAGGCAGCTTCAGAAATGCAAAGTTAACATCGAGCAGAGCAGGAGGCAGCTCATGGATCCACCAGCAGCCCTGTGCATTTGAGGATATTTGTATATGGAGTGATCAGCGATCGCAGCGGGGCGCTCACGAGGCCGGATGCCGAGCGGCTCTGCCCTGCCAGGGGCCTCCCGAAAGCAGAGGGAAGGGCAGCAAAGCACCAGGCTGCCCGGCCCACCGGTGGGCAGCCCCGAACACCCCAGAAAAGCCTCTGTGCAGCACTGGAAGAGGCAAATGCCCTTCTCGGTTGCAGAAATAGGTTGCAGCAGCTGCATTAGTCATGCTTAATAAAGCCAGAGCATCAGGTCCAGCCCCACATGAGTTTTTAATGCAAGGTAATAGAGAAGAGTAGGAAGCAATCAGTCCTTTGGGACAGACTTGGATCCCCAGACATGCCTTAAGGGTGGACAGGCACAGGCCTCTATCCCACAGAGGCCCAAAGGCACCCAGGGGGATGGAAGGGCATTCTGTTTTTTTAAACCTGGATACACATTTTCGTAAGTCTCTCTGCAGCACAATTAGGGAGGGGAGGACCCAGTCCAGAACTGAGTTTAAGTGTACGAAGTTTGTACCTCCTTGGTGTGGGCAGCGCGTGGCTCCATGCAGCAGCACCCTGTGCTCTTGGCTGCGGTGAGGACAAGCGCAGCTCTGCCACGAGTGACCTCTGTGCATTTACACTGCACTGAAACGGAAAGAAACCTGAGACAGGAAGGGCGCCCGGCACCGCGCCGACCGAGCGCCTCGCGGCGCAGGCCAAGCAGCAGCCGCACCGGAGTGTCCGACCGGAGCGTCCGCGGAGCTGAGTAATGCGGCTCGCCGATGAACCAGCGCTCGCGCTGATTTACCGAGTGGGGAGAAGTTAAGCGGTGCAGAGCCTGACCTTTCCAGGCCTATTTCTAGCCAGGAGAGCCACGGCTATCAGCTGCTACCGGGGTGCGCAGGACTGGCGCTCGGAGGCTCCCTCCTCACTTGGTTGCTGCAGCCTCTCATCTCCTCCTGACGCTACACAGCGCTCATCAGCATCGGTGTCAGCAGCCTCGGTGCCGCGAAGCCTCTCTCTCTTTGCCTTAAAGACTGTCAATCATCTTCCATACTCAGCATTCAGACTTGCTCATCAGTTAGTAACAACACTTCCAGCGACACCAAACGTGATTTTGGAATAAACACTGGACTGAGATCACTGGAAGTGACTGACAGCTGATAAGTCACATTCTAGAAGCTAGTAAGGAAGAAAAAAAATTAAAAATAATATAGGAATCTTTCTCTACTTCTAATATTTGACTGTCATTCAAAATAGCTTCTACCTGAGAGGGGGAGGAAAAAAACCCCAAAACATAAAAAATCACTTGGATCTGCAACATGTTAAGCCTCACAGGTAGCTTTTTGTAAGGTCCCTTGGAGGTGCCTGCGGTCCCCTCTCTGCCAGGAGCCAGGGTGCAGAGCAAGGGAGGTCTCACGGGCTCTTAAGCCGCCCTCCTTCCCCAGTTGTGAGGCCCTGAGCATCCAGCCAAGCTTCTCCCTCCACGCCAGCCGGCACCGGCTGTTCTCGACCTGCCCACTCCCACCGGCTCCGTGGGCCATTCTCCGGGCAGCACCGGAGGCCGGCCGTGCTTACCTGGCCGCCAGGTGAAGGGGCCGTCCCCCCTGCAGAAGAGGCAAGCGGAACGGATCAACGGGGACGCAAGGAAGGAGAGGCTAGAGAAGGGAAAAATTGTGGCAATCCACTATTTCTAATAAAATCTGCTTCTGCAGAAGAGGTGCTTGTTTCTTCACCCATCCATTGGGTGATGGGTGCTGCTGTGTGAGCTCGCCCGCCACTGCCCCCTGCCAGGTTTTCCAGCCTCTGCCCACAGAGCAACAGGGAATCCATGTCCCCCGCTTTCTCCCCCACCACCACCCTTCAACATTAAAACATTACTTGGCTGCACCAGCACCAGGTGCCCCCAATATCTAAGGTCCCACAGTGACACCAGGCCTCCAGGGAAAGAGAGGAAGATTTAACCATATGAACCACAGCTTCAGTGTTTCTTTTCCCTTTAATATGGAGCTTAATAATTAGTTAATTAGCAGTTTTAAGTAAATCACTTAATTAAAAAAAAAAAAAACACAAAAAAAAACAAGAAAGACACACACAAAAATCCAGACGTTGTGCTTGTACTGGATTAAGGCGCAGTCCCCTTTCAAAATAGAGAGGTCAAGAATAGCTCCAGACACCATTTCACACACCATACTCCACCAACACACCTCATCCTTCCTTCCTTGCAAATGCTGCCCAGGACTTCACTTACTGGTGTGGCACCAGCTTCACCAGAGCTGCTCAGACCTGCACAGGCTCCATATATGTTCTTCCCAAGACTGAGTAAGACACCTCAAAATGCAGAGCCAAGGCCTATCTCAAGCTCATAAGCTAGTTTACAGTTCATGTTTTTACAGGAAAGAAAGCAAACACTTCATCCTCACCAATTTTTGTGTTTCAACAGACGCATTCTGAGGAGGGAAAATGCCCTTTTCCATAAAGCTTTCATCTGTCAAAGGCTGTTCTGCCTTTGCTCCGATACACCCACAGCAGCAAGCAGCAGCAGAGCAGAGGAGCAGCAACACAGCACATGTACTCACTCCACTGGCAGGCAGAGCTGCTTCTCCATGCCCTGTAGCCAAGGGATTGGGTGTTGAAGGAGATGTTGAAGATCCCGTCCTGAAAAGGACACCTCAAACCCTTTTCTTGAGCCCTTTCAGCATCCCAAATGACAGCAGTGGAGGAGGAGAGAAGGAGAAAGAAAAAGAAGGGATGGGAGGTTACTGACCCCTGACTGGGAACAGCAGGCACCTGCTGCAACTCAGCCTAATTGCTTTGCTCTTCCCACACAGCCACAAGCCATTTCCCCCCTCGCTTTCCCCTCCACTTCCCTTTTAACAGGGCTCCTCATACATACAGGCACCCACTGCCTTCTCTGGTCATTCCCATGTTCCCTTGGCAGGTGTAATGGGTTGGAGGAAGCTAGGCACAGGATCAGACCTACCATTTAATTAACATTTCCCTCCCTTGCTTTGCAAACACAACGGGGAAAACTTTAATCCATAAACGGCATCCAAAAAGCTCCACGTCAGAGCTAACAGATGCCACATAACCTTCTTGCAAAGGTCATTTCCCCCAAATTCTGCTAGGGAAAATGCTCGAGCTTCCTCAGGCCTGAGCTGAGGTCGTGTGAAAATGCAGGGCTAATTTTGCAGATAGGTGAATTCAGTGGGTGTCTTCTATATTCAGAAAAGACTTTTAAATGCTCCTGGTTTTGAGTGACAACTTGGAATGTCTCTGAAGGAGGCTGAATATCAGGTGCAGGGCAGGAGGAAATCTGTGCAATTTAATACTGTGGATGGAAATTCAAAATTACCACTTTTTAGTTGCTCATAGGAAAGAGAATTTGGACACCTAGTCTTCTATGCAGGTCCGTGACTTAAACTTAAAGCACATAGAACTTTGCATCACTGACACGGAGTTATATCATCTATTGCTTTGGATTGACCTCTTTAAGATATGTAGGCAAATGCCCAATTTTTCATGTAAAGGTTTCTAAGGAGAAAAAACTAACCCTTGGCAGCTTTTCTGCAAAATTAGTCTGCATATGAAATTAATCTAGTTTCACAGTTGTATGTTCCCATGGCTTATTTGCCTTGGGTAACGCTCAGTGCTCTCTACTGAGGTCAGGACCATGTGTGCAAACGTGGTGAACGTTGTGCCCCAAAGGGCAGCACTGTACTCCTGAAAACGACTGCGTGAAGAAAACTGCTGCTTCTAATGCATAAACAACACGACTGGGACTGAGGCAAGCAGCAACTGAAAGGAGCTGTTGCTATTACTACCTGTGATTTGTTGAATCTTTTAACAAAGCAATTTTGAGAAATCATGAAAAGTAGCATTGTTCAAAACAAGTGTTATAAAAAATGATGAAAATTAGTCAGATGTGAGACAGACTTAAAAGAAAATATGGAAAGCAAATTCAAAATTGGTATATAATAACAATGTATTTTAAGAACAAAAAAAGAAAAAGATTGGTTAGTCAATTCCTTTTTTTTTTCTTCCTTTATGTCAGTACCTTAATTTGTACTTCCAAATTTGAAGTTTTGCATTAACGCCACCACAAATAAAATTCAAGACTTGCTGCATGAAACTTTTCCTTGTTCATTTTCTATTTATATTGTACCAATATTGTAAAATATAAAGTAAGTCTTTTAGGATAGATTAGACTGCCATCAGAAAAACATATTCAAAGCAAAAAATAAAATTGGCAAAATTAGTCATTTTCAGTGAAACAGCTTTCCAGGTCAAGAATTACTTGCTGAAGAAACACGAGCTGAAGATGCAGCATTATAAATGGTCTTCTCTCAGCCACTTGTGCCAGTGGTCGAATAATTCATTTCTTAGTAAGAAATATGATGGTCTATTAGCAGAAAGAAAGATTAGGTGCACATTAATCAAACATTTCAGAGGAGTATAAACATGCATATAGCATCCAGGAATAGCCCATTACCCTATTTCAGAAGATATATGTAATCAATATTTCAAGTATATCTAGTTAGTTTCATATCATTGAGTTTTAAGTATTTCCCTTTGTAAAACAGCCAGGCTTTCAAAGGCTGTGGCAGGCATTTCCTGAAGTGCTTCTTGACCAAAATAAGCAATGGAACTAGGATTTCCGAGCTGTTCAAATAAAGGAGTGCAAATAATAATAATGTCATCTCTCGCCAACAGATGGAGACAAACAGATTAGAAGACTAGTGTTACCAGATTACTATTTAAATAGTATTATTTCTTCTCTTTTTTTTCTATCTGAAGAAAGCTTCTAAAATATTGGCTTTCCCCCACCCCCAAAAAAGAGTGAGACTATATTTGATGTCAACCAGTCAATCAGAGGCAATACATCGATGTTTGTACCATGTCTGGAAACAGAAGGTGGCATTTGCAAACATCAGACCTCTCCCCGTTGTTTGCATCACGTAAATATGTTTTTGTTTGATAGTCATTTGCTTGTTTCCAAAAAGAGCTTTAGGGAGCAGGAGAGCCCTTGGGCCCAAGGCAACATTTACCCGATAGTGCTGCCGCCAGCCCCTCTCATCGCACCGTGCCCTCCAGGACCCATTGAAAGCCAGAGGACCAGCCCATCTACAAATATCAATATAACCCCACCAGGCTCTGGTATCCAGTAGATATTACGTTCTTTTCATAAAAGTTTTTAATAGCCTGAAACTCAAATTTTCATTTTTTTCAAAACTCACATCAAACAATCATCTTTCAAGAAAGGCTGTACAAAAAGCACGCAGGAAAAAAACATCTTCTTTCAACACCAGTAGTCCCAAGTAATTCCTAATAACCAACACCCGCAAAGGAAATCTCCTAACAGGGAACGGCCTTGCCAGGGCCACAGAGCTCTTAGCTGTTTACTAGGATTTCAGGCATTGTGGCTTTCAGGGACGTGAGAAAATGTCTGTGAAAGATACCAGATATTGTTTCATGTTGTGGGCTACAAAGCCCACTGTATGCAGTACTCCTTTCATTAATTTTGTATATTCCCTCAGGCTGACACAATGTGTACTTCAACACCTTTAATATGGTGGCTCGGTGTCAAGGAGCACATTTTTGAGTTCAATTTGTGAAATGTCTACAGGCAGCCTTATTGGACTTATAAGATACGTAGAAGTATTGCTGGGAGTTGGCTTCACCCCAGCCATGGGGTGATGTGACTTCACACCACACAGCTGGCAAAGGAGGCAAAGGCAGAATTTCTTTTACTGGCACTGCTAGATGTTTCTAATCACAAACAGAGTTCACCAGTGGGGCACTTCCCTTTGAAAATGCAAAAGCAGCTACTTTAAAAAGAGGTTCATTTTTTGCAGGACTGGTACAGAGGCAGCCTGAGCAGAGGGGCCTTCCCTTCCTTGCCGAGAGAGCAGGAGGGCTCCTGGCTCTTGGTGCTCATCCAGAAAGGGCTGCAGAAAGGACACAGAAAGAAAGTGTCGCAGGACTGGCAGACTTCAAAAGATGCCAGGGCAAAACACAGGGAGAGCTTTTATTCCTGAATGTTTCCAGTCTGTTGAAGACAAAATGTTCTGTGTCTGGGGACAAGGGACAGCTTAATTGAGCACCAATTACCATGAATCATCAGAAAACAGGAGACTGGTTGGAAAGCCTTCTGGAAGCCACTGCCAGGACTTTCATTAGGACTCGCACAGGTGTTGATCCTTCTTTGGATCAGCTAGGACTGTCAGTCTGGTTGGTTCTTTCGGATTTCTTCAGTAAACTACCTGAATGCTCAACAGTGGGTCATCCTCATGTGAAAAACAAGCAGAAGTTCAAAAGGAATATGAAAACTGGTCTACCGTAGCACCTCATAACCTCACAACCAGAGAGATTTTCCTCCTTGGACTTTGCATCAAGCAGCACAGCAGCAATGAATCAGCAAATGCTTTTTTTTTTTTTTTTTTTTTTTTTTTTTTTTTTTTTACTGAGCAGTATGGAAGCTAAATCAAAAATGAAACATGAACATACTGTTTGCTCTTGAACTGAGACATTCCCATTTAATGAGCCAGCTCCTTTTGCGCTGTTTGCCCAATACCCAGCGAGCCCATCTGTATTTCTTTCATTAGCCACTTTCATGCAGGCGCTCTGCAGCTCGGCGCATGGCCGGCCCACGGTCCCTCTACTCGGGGCTGCTCATTCGTGAGCTGCAGCTTGTAAAGAAAAATCAGTGAAACATGGGTAGAACAAGGCCACGCGGGTAGTCCTGTAATGCAGCTCCAGTTGTAAGCATAGGAGGCATTAGGGAAAGAGAAAGGGAATTGGAAGCAGTGTTATGGGGCTTCCCGGCAAGCAGAGTCTTCTCCTTGTCCAGCTGCAAGCAGCAGCTTTGTGCACGAAGAGCACAAGAGCTGTGAGCAGGAAAACACCACAGCCTTCCACATGCAACGTGCTTCCTCCTCTGCGTGCACAGCTACAAGCTATAAGCATTAGCAGGTAGCTTCAGGAGAAGAAACCAGCTTAGCACTGGGCCTTTGAGCGCTCCATCTGCATTGCTTCCTCCCACAGCATGGTTCCCAACTCCTTCCTTGCTGCACCCGTACCTGAAAGCAAAGGCAGACCTTGTTGTACACTATCATTGGCAATAAAAAATGTAATGGGGGAGTATTGTGTGCTCAGTTTTGCACAGGTAAAGCTATTAGGCTGGTGTTTGCAAGAACATTCACCTGACTTTGTGGAACAGGTAATCTTTAGAGATGGAAGGAGTCGTCTTGCTCCTTGCAGGTACAGTTGTTAATGGGTGCTGCATTTCGCCTGTAGATGATCTCTACTGCTTGCATTAACTCTGAAAGGGCCAATAAACATGGGAGAGTGATGGGAGACTCTTCAGTTGCTAAGGAAATGAATTAATCAGCTTGTATGTGCTCAGCACACACACACACGCTGCTGCCAAGGCCCACAGTTTGAGGTGCCCTGCTATTTTTTTGCCAGCAGGGGAGAAGAGAGTAGAGGAATTGGCAGAAAATGAAGTGTCAGTGGTGGGGGCTGTAATAAAAATTCTGGAAGGAGAAAGCAGCACTTACTGTATACA